AATAGGCAAGCACCTAAGAGAAACTGCTCCCTCCTCCAAGCCCCAGGAAGCGCACTGACCCTGGAGAGCAGAAGTACTCACCTGGATTTTGTTTCGTTTTAACATTTTCATGGAGCTATAATTTACACAGCATAAAATTCGCCATTTAAGTGTACAGTGCACTGGTTTTTAGTTTATTCACTATGTTGTGCAATCATCACTGCTATGTAATCCGAGAACATTTCTATCACCCCAAAAAGAAACCCCTTACCTATTAGCACTTAGTCCACATTCCTTCCCTCCCCCAGCCCCCGCAACCACTAATCTACTTTCTGTCTCTATGGATTTGTCTCTTCCGGACATTTTATATCAATAGAACCATACAATATGTGGTCTTTTGTGTCTGGCTTCTTCTCACATAGCATCATGTTGTCAAGGTTCAACCACAGTGTAGTATATATCATACTTCATTCCTTTTTATGGCTGAATGATAGTCCACTATATGGATACCTTTTTATCTCTTCCTCACTTGATGGACATTGTGCTGTTTCTACTCTTTGGCTATTGTGCATAACGCTTCTCTGAACATTCATGTACAAGTTTTCGTCAGAAGAGGCTTTCACCTCTCTTGGGAGTAGAACTGCTGGATTATATGGTGATTCTACAACCTTTCAAGGAACTGCCAAACTGTTTTCCACAGCATCTAAACCAGTTTGCATTCCCAACAGCAGTGTATGAAGGCTCCACATTCTCTGCTTTCTCATCAATACTTTTTTTCCTCATTATTATTATTGTTATTATAACTATCTTGGTGAGTGTGAAGTGGTTTTAGTTTCTCACTGTGGTTTTCGTTTGTATTCTCTAAACTGTCTTCCCTGAGAATGCTCCCCACAGTTCTGAGTTCAAGTTTCATCTGCTTGTCCAGAACTGTCTGACTAAGCACTGGATTAAGTTTGCCTAATTTAGTGGGAAATGTTAGAAAAAAACTCACTGGACATGAGCTGTGAGCTTTGGCTCCAGCTATCTGACATCAAGTTGAATATAAATACTTTAGTGAAGATTACAGATACATCTTTCCCATTGATTTAAAACAAGGCCATTGTTGTTACTTTTTTAATGTTTTATTATTTTAAGATTTGTGACAAATTTGTAATTTATCAAAAACTTTGGTACTTTGCATATACCAGACACAAAGACTGTGGATGCCAGTCTAAGAAACACCAATTAGTAAAAAGAGCCCTGGACTGTGAGCCAGTCCTGGTTTTGATGTTGGCTATGTTAATCAAGTTCTATAAGCTTTCTTCTCCCCATTTTGGAATAGATGGGCATTTCCTATCCTGGCTTTCTCAGAGCTTCTTTGAAAAGCAAATGAGAAAATGGATGCAGAACTGTTTTATAACCTGTAAGATTTTATGCAAACGTATGAGATGAAATAATTTTTTTAAAAGCCATCTGTCCCTTTGGCCCCCCTTTCGGTTTCTTTGTGTACAGCCCCACCAGTTGTCAAAGAGCCTTTTCCCCTGGCTTTGCATTTATAAATCTGGCCCGTCATCCCCCCACCACCTTGGGGAACAAACCCCGCTTGTCCCCGGTAAGAAAGCCACCAGGTCTCCTGAGGCTCGTTCTAATGTGAATGAGCCCTCAATGTTCTCTCTCTTGCCACCCACGGGGCTCCTTCCATAACCATTCGGAGAGAGTGGGGAGCCCACAGTTGTCAGGCTCAAACAGGTCCGACCGGAGATCTGTCCCTCGGCCCCCACTCGCTCCTTGCCCCGGCCTCTCTCTCATTCCCGCCCCAAAGAACCCCGCCCCTGAGGTTCCCTAGAGAGAGGCTCCCCACCACCACCTCTGCTACAGGCAGAAGTCGCTAGGGTCCGCCCTGGAAATGGGAGGGGACAACTCCACTCTGCAGACCCCACCCTGCAGGAGGGATTTCCACTTCTTTGGTGGTGGTAACCACAGCAACCATAGGGGACCGTGAGTCAGAAGGTAGTAAACCGGATTCTTTACTAACAGAAGTTGCCCGGGGCAACCCCGGGAGGGGCCCTGGATTTCCTCCTGGGACTTCTGGGAACCTCCTGGCACCGCTGACCTTCCCGACCACGTTAGGTAACGCCAACAAGCACAGGTGGATCATTTGCCAGCATCCCGGAGTTCCTTTTCCAGCGCCCCAAGGCTCCCTTGGGCCCTGAGTCTCTCCACGCCTCAAACTCCTCGGGCAGTCTCCTGGCTCCTGGCTTTCCTGCCTGAGCTCCCTACTGCCGGAAAGCCTCTTCCCTCTTTTCACTCAGAAAGCACCTTATTAGGCCTTTAGATCTCAGGGCCTTCTCTATATGGAGAAGTGTCAGAAACCCCGTAAAAGACGGAGTCATTTCTCTCTGACTTGAGTACAGGCTGGAGACGCAGGATACTCTCCGTGAAGTCCTCGGGGCCCCAGGCTCCCTCCTGTTTTGCCAGCCCGGGGGTGGCTCCCTCAGCCTCCGCATCCAGGAAGGCAGTACGTGCAACGCAGACAGCTGGACCGACACAGCAAGGGGTAGAAGAGGGGCCCGGGCAGATGCTGGCTGCTGTGTGAACCGAGATCATTGAATCTGCCGACGGCTCAGCTCAGTTGAAAGACGGCTGATCCCATTTCCCATCGTCTCCTTCCTGAAATATTCCCGCCCGCGGTCAAGGCATCTGCCCGCTCTTTTGTCCCGCCTGCCTGTCGTCCTGTGCCGCCATCCTACCACTTTATAAAAGAAAGGTAGACCTCTTATCAACAGCGAGCAAAAGCAGGGGTGTGGGGACTGGCGCCCACCGCCACGGGCAGGCAGCAGATGCATTGTCTCCGGAGAACTTTAAAGCAGTAATCATCCAAAAGCCAACTGCCCTTTATTACCCCCTTGGCCAGCAATTCTCAACAATGTCTGGGATAGAATAATCCTCCCTGAAAAATGTTTTGCTGGTCTAAATTCCAAATCTAAACAAATGCGTTCATTACCATTGGATTCTAATAATAGATAAACTTCAAATTAGCATATGTGTATAATTCATCCCTTAAAAAAAACCATTATATTCTGAATTTCCCAAAGAAACTCCAGGCATGCAGTGGGCCCCCCGACAGCCGCCTACTCAGTCCCTTGTGACCCTTTCCAGAGAGAGTTTATGAGGGTGCCCTCCTCAGGAATCATTGGCGCCCCCTGGCTGGTAGGGCTCCGTCCTGGAACTGCGGCTCTCCGAAATTCAACAGTAGATCCAAAGAAAACAACGGCATGATTGTAAAGACTAAGGAGATAAACTGAGTTATTTTACCCCTGGCTAGGACTTACTTGTGTTTAACATTTTAAAAAGTTAAAAAATAAGAATAAAAATTTTAAACAGTCAACAGGAAGGCAAATGACAAGGTGGACTACTTTTGTTTAGTAATGGCAAACATAAAATGTAATTACGTTATGATTATTGCTGAAAATAATTTTGCCTAATAGAGGAGAGGGGTGTTAAAACGTAATCCACACCTGACACCTCTCAGCTTCTCATCCTTCCCAAATTTTACTAAGATAAAATGCTTGGATTGTAAAACCGTCGTGGCTCCAAACAAACAAAAAAACACTGGTTTTAGTGAAACCTTTTAATCAAATCCCCATAGACCTATGGTAGGTCTTCATGTCTTCTCTGTCATGTCTATATTTTTGTTATGGCACAGTGTGAAAATAAAGCGATATTTTGGTTTATGTAGGGGTGTTCTGCATTCAGCTATCATATAGAGTGGGGCATCAGGAGTGGTATTAATTTCCATATGCCCCAAATTATTCAAGATTGCCTGATTCCTGAGGGAGACTCCCGTGAGCACAAAGCAGTGAAATACTGAAGGTGATGGTTCCTTGTATCAGCAGGTGACAGACTTATGGCAGAGCTCCATGCCTTATCTGTGTATCTTAAAAATATGCATGATTCTTAAAAAGCGTCTGGGCAAAGCCCTTCCGTAGGAAGCACCCCCAGGCTCGGTTCTCAGCGGGAGGAACCTGGCCAGCCCTCTCTGCTGAGCTGTCTGGTCTGTTCTCCTTGTGTATTTGCATGACTTCAAGGAGGAGGAAGTAGTAAGTTTCACATTTACTTTCCACAGATGAACATGACATCTTTGAAGAAAAGGAACATATATCAGAGGCACTTCAGTGTATTTTTGTAAACACTTACTATCTTGTAAAAAAAATGCTTTCATTAACTTTTGCCCCCGAATTATTGGTTAATGGAAAGTCACATTGTTGTTTGTTTTTTTTGTTTTTAATTGGGTACATGTCTCCTGCTTGCTATCAATCATCAGTCACTTTTCGGCTCTTTTGTTTATTCTTACCATGTTCTTATTAGATTAACTTAACACTTTGATATGATTCTCTTGGAAATAATGCACCTAACAATTATTAATACACCATTTGTAAGTCTCCAACTTACTAGTAATATAATATCTTTTCTTCTTGTTAATTTGCTCTGAACACTAATCATTCCATCGAATAATTATTTGTCCATGATGCATTCTATTTATATCACAAGCATAAATTGTGCTTATATCAGGTAATGTTCTAAGTACTTTATAATATTAACTCATCAGGCCCTCATCATAACCACATGAGATAGATACTATTATTATGAAGATTTTGAGACAGAGAGCTTAAATAACTTGCCCAAGGTCACACAGCTAATAAGTGGCAGAACCAGGATTCAAATCAGAACTGCCTGACCTCAAACATGAGCTAAGCAACTAACTGCACTATGCTGCCTCTGAAAAAATGTAGGGAGGTCAGGGGGAAGCTCTGTTCATCTCACTGGGGAAGCACCATCCCAATATAATTTTTCAAGTTTAATATGAATTTCCACCAATTTTATTCTAATAATAATTCTAATGATAGGTAGACAGTATGGGAGAGAGCAATTTGGGGCAAAATGTAATAATGTAGGTAGGAAATGAGTATACAAGAAGTCATATTAAGTCATATTTTACTTTCATAAATATTTTTAAATATTTTATAAATTATTTTGGAATTTTAAAAAATGAGACACTAAAATAAAAGTGAATCTTTTTTTATGTTAATATTGATAACATGCTAAAAGTTGCATTTAAAACTAAAAAGAAAATGTTTACATCTAAGAAATGTGCAAGGATATATATGGTTTTCCAAAATTATTTTGGTATTAGTAACAAGTGTGCTGTTTGAAGACAATAGTCTTAAGAAGGAACATTTCAGGAAATTGCCATGTGACTCTTTTGCTTTCATCTCATTGGCTGGAGCTGGCCATGTGGTCAATTGCATCCCTTCGCACAGGTGAGTTCCAGGAAATCACTGTTAAGTGGAGATACAAATAAAGAAGAGGTTTATTCGAAGCACCCTTGGACTTAACGGTAGAGAATAAATGAAGCAAGGGAGAAGTAGGGAGATGATGCAGTCGCACGAAGGCCCCAGCTGATCCCACAGGCAGCTCTGAGGCTAGGATGGCCCTGCAGAGTTGTCTCACACTGGAACAAGGGGGCCAGAACTTTATACTTCCACATCAGCCAGTCACTGCATGCAGGATGCCCCAGAGGAGAGGGAAGCACCTTGAGTGAGGGAGCTCTTCAAGGAGGGAGTCCTAGAAGCAACGCAGCTGCAGGCTGTCAACAATGTCCCCATCAGCCCTATTTTACAGGCAAGGAAGTTGAGGTCCATGAGATTAAATAGCTTGCTCAAGGTCATAGAGCTGGTAAGTGGGTATATCAGTTATCTATTGCCACATATGTAATGCTGCATAACAAACGTCCACAAAACCTGTAATAACAGACTAATAATAATGATTCACTTTTGCTCATGCGTCTATAGGTCAGCTAGGAGAGTCTGCTCACCTGGGCCAGGCTAGGCTGACTTTAGCTGGCCTTACTCATGCGTTTGTGGTCAAGGCTTGGTTTTGCTCTGCCTGGCCTAGGGTGGCCTCAGCTAGGATGGTGTGGATCTCCTCCACGTGGCCGTTCATCCTCCAGAAGGCTATCCTGAGCTTGTTCTCATGATGGTGGGAAGATTCCCAGAGGGAATGAAAGTGCACAAAGCCTTTTGAGGCCTAAGATTAATGCATTGTCACTTCCACCACTCTACTGACCAAAGCAATGACCAGGCCAGGCCCAGAGTGAGCGAGCAAGATGCTCGCAGATGGCATAGATCCACAGAGGCATGAAAACCCAGGGACCATCTACCTCAGCAACATTGCCAGGATGCAAACTCCAGAGACCTCACTCCTAACCATTATTCCATAGTCACCTGCCTATCAAATCTTTTATTAGTATCAGTTCAAGTTCCATTCATTTACATGCCCAGCACCTAGGTGGGCACTATGGAGGGACAGGGTCCTGTTTTTAAGGAGCTTTCAGCCTAGTTAAGGAAACAAGATGCCCACCATGGAAGGTTTGGTAACAATAAAGTCAAGACAAATGTGGGGGGTAGTGAAAGCAACAGGAGTTTAAGGTAGGAAAGGGCAGACCATGGACAGGAGTGAAGGAAGGGTTGGGCGGGATCGATCTGAGTTTTGCAGGAAGTGCCGAATTGAGTCAGATGGTGAGCAAGGAGTGACAAATGACCTCACTTCTTTCCCCCACACAGGTACTGAAGGAAGGAGAAGAAAGGGAGATGGAATGGGGGACACAGGAGGAAAGTAGTTTTTGAAATCCCCTCTTGGTTGTGGGTAAAACTGTAATATTTCCAGAATATCTTGCCTGGCTTTAGTGCATCTGCATATCAACAGGCATTCCTCAGGGGGTGGATAATAGTAGTTCATCTCCATATCAATGGGTAATTCCCTGGGTGACCAAGGGCTTACTGAACCTGCTGGAGCAGGAAAGAGACATCCCAAGACTGAAGTTTGTAAGCAATAAGCGGGTTTTAAACTTCATTTCTCCCTTTGACTGATTTCAGTTTTAGAGGTATTTTGTCCTGGGATTTCCTTTCCCCGGAGTTACATGTGGTGTTAGTTGGCAGGATCTCTGAACCTGAAATCTGTCATAGTTGGTATGATCTTTGGGAGGGCTGCCTCTAGAGATGATGGGGAGATGCCCGGAACCCCCCTGTGAATGGTGGGGAGGCTCCAGTGGATGCAGCAGCAGAGGGTGCAGCTTCACCTTTTATTGTCCTCCTATCTGTGGGGCTTCCAATTTGGGAGCCCCTAGTGGGGAATTGGCCTAGGGTAAAGTACCTCCTGAAGGGGCAGGGCCTTCCCCAGAACTAGGTAAGGGTGGAGACACCGGAAGTTGCAGATTTAGCCTCCATCAGATTAAAGGCTGCTTAGAGGCCCTAAGTGGCCTTGTAGCAGCTGGCATTGTAAGGTCTCTTCTCATCAAGATAGTGAAAAATATTATACAGGAAACAGAGGGACATAGGCAGGAGAGAGACACTCTTCAGCATCGCTTGGAGGAGCTGAGTGATAACCTATGGGATGCCATTAAGGAAGACAGACAGTTATTGAAAAGACAGGTCACACTCCTGGAAGATTCCTTAGCAGCCTCGAGTAGGGGGAGTGGGGACGGTGATGAGGAGGAGGTGGGGCCATGGGCCAATCCACCACCCCAGGTACCAGCCTCTCCTGTTTTAAAAGCCTGCTGGGCTGCAATTAAGAAAATAAAAACAAAACAACCTTAGGCTCCTCAGGGGGAGGAGCTCTTTAAGGGTTGTGGAGCACTCCATGCTCCATCCCTATACCCAGGATGAGCTGGTGGACATAAGCATCCGATATATAGGCAGAGGCCATAGGAATCTCTGCCTGCATGGCTTTTACATCTCTGGGATATGGGGGTGGGGGGAAAACACTGTTTTGTCGGGTACTGAGATGAGTAGAATGGCTTCCCTAACGATTCGCCCTTCCCTCCGGCAGCAGTTGCAAAATGCCTGTCACGCCTCAGGGAGTCAGACACTTCTGGAATGGCTGACAGCTGCCATTAGGGTAGTTTGGCCTAATCAGGGTGATTCATCATATTTACCTAGTAGTTGGAAAACATATGCAGAGCTCCAACAGGTACTGCAAGAATCGGGTATGAAAAATATCATCTATAATATTGACCCCCAAGGCCTCAGTGAGGAGGTGTTCGCTGTAGGAATGAGAAATCTGGTGCTGCATACAGCTCCCACATCTCTCTTTGGGTCTCTAGTGACTACTTTTGCCCCCCACGTAGGGCAACCCATAAGTGAGGCTACTCATACTTTAGCAGATCTGGGAGTTGAAACAATGAAGGCGTGGAAGGAAGTATAGGCTACTACTGAAAGGAGGGATGCAAAAGGCCCCGTGAAGGTCTCAAGGACCCAGATGTGGGTTGATTTGATAAAGGCCAGGGTAGTGAAAGAAAAACTTGATGGGCAGCCCAATAGAATCTTGTTAGAACTTAGAACTGTGGCACCAATTAAGCCAGAGCAGCAGTTCCACCTCTGAGGTCCAGGACACAGAAACTGGAGTCAAGGCCTCATGCCTGGCCCGTGTCCCTGCAAAACTTCCTGGGAGACAGTATTCAGGATTCACCTGGGCCCTCACCCCCACAGGAGGATGACTGAGCATCACAGTTTGACTGAGGGTAGAGTCAAGGTCCCCACCTTGGGGGACATGGTGGAGACCAGAGGCCACATGTAGAATTAGCAATTCATTGGTCCCCTGTGAATGTGCAATGTGTCCTGGCACTGGTGGACACAGGAGCTGAGTGTTCTCTGATTTACGGCAACCCTGAGTGTTTTCCTGGGACCCCCAGTGTGATAGATGGCTATGGGCGTAAGGCAATTAGAGTGAAGAAAGCCCACATTCCACTGGGGATAGGATGTTTACCCCCAAAGGAGTATATGTTTACATTTCTCCCATCCCTGAATATATTTTAGGGGTAGATATCTTGCAGAGCCTGTGGTTACAGACCACTGCAGGTGAGTTCAGACTGAGGGTACATGTGGTAAAGGCAGTCCTGAAGGGACATGTTCAGCACCCTCCTGTAGCTCTGCCTGTACCTCAGCAGGTGACAAATACTAAGCAGTATAAATTGCCTGGGGGCACAAGGAAATTGGAGAAAATCTACTGGAGTTGGAGAAGGAGGGCATCATAAAGCCCACTCATAGTCCTTTTAATTCCCCAGTGTGGCCAGTGAAAAAGCCAGACGGCTCCTGGCATATGACCTTGGACTACAGGGAACTGAATAAAGTCACACCCCCTTTGCATGCTGCTGTCCCCTCTATAGCAGACATTCTGGGTACCCTCAGCCATGAGCTGGGAACATATCATTATGTAGTAGACCTTGCTAATGCTTTCTTCTCGACACAGCACAGGAAAGTCAGGAATGATTTGCCTTCATGTGGGAAGGCCGACAGTGGACATTCACTGTCCTTCCACAGGGATACCTCCACAGTCCCACCATCTCTCATGACCTTGTAGCCCAGGACTTTCCTGGCCACATGAAATAAACCACAAATCATGCAATTGTATCACCACATTGATGATAGTATGCTCACATCTGATTCTCTTTCAGATTTAGAAGGGGCAGTTCCTAGATTGTTGCAACATCTACAGGAAAAAGGATGGGTTGTGAATAGCACCAAGGTTCAGGAATCTGGTTTTTCTGTAAAGTTCTTGGGGGTTGTCTGGTCAGGTAAAACTAAAGTTATTCCTGAAGCAGTCATAGACAAGGTCCAGGCTTTCTCTACCCCTACCACTGTGGCAGTATTATAAGAGTTTTGGGCTCTTTGGGGCGACTGGAGAGTGTTTATCCTGCACTTGGCACAAATTCTGAAGCCCTTATACCAGTTGGTACAAAAGGCCATCAGGTGGGACTGGGATGAGACATGTACAGCTGCTTTTACTGTTGCCAAGCTGGCAGTCAAGGCCATGCAGGCCTTTAATGGACTCATCAAGGCCCTGTGAGCTAAATGTTCATGTAACCGAAGATGGTTATGGGTTGGGTCTTTGGCAGTGGCTTGAACGGACATGCCAACCTATTGGATTCTGATCACAGCTATGGAAAGGAGCAGAGGTCCAGTACACCTTGATAGAGAAGCAACTGGCTGCTGTGTACCACACCTCAATGGCTACGGAGCATATCACTGGAACAGCTCCAAGCAAGGTAATAACCATCTGTCCCATCACGGGGTGGGCTTGAGACTGGACCCAAAGGCTATGGAGTGCTGTGGCATAGACGCCAACACTGGCCAAATAGGGTGAATATTTACAGCAGTGCTGCACCCTTTCTACTAGCCCCTTAAGAGGAGAACTTCCATGCTTATTGGGCCCAATGACCTATACCAGTGGAAAGCAGGAAAAACTTGCTTTTGAGCCATCGGTAGCCAAGAGTCCTTATCAG